TGCCATGCGCACCCAGGCGCCCATGCTAGCATGCTGCTAGCTTGCGATGGGCTCCCAGGGCGCGCCTAGGCTGCGACAGTGCCTAGCACACCATGGTGCGCCTAGCACACACATGGTGCACCTAGGCTTGCGATGAGATAGCCTAGCCTAGCTACGGCTACGCTCATACTTGTTGCTTGTGATTTTGCGACGCTCGGTCTCGACGCACTAGGCTCGATTTCTGACGTCTGTATTCGTAAACTCTGTCGACTCATTAAATCCTTTCGGATTAATTCATCGTCTCGGATCGGTGATTCGATTGGGTTTGACCCGAAGGGTTCAGCTAAGATTAAGCTGTAATATCAATTGTACCTTGATATTACTGATCGGAAGTGGCCTCCACCTAGGCATTACGATCACTTGACCTTACTGAAGAATTAGCTCTGTAATAATTCTGAACCCTCTATCGGAAGAATACACTAGTTGGAAGGACACCATTCCTTTCAATGATATGGAGTCGTCAATAAAATCACATGCTTGGAGCAAGAGAAGTATAAAATACCAATCAATTTAAATCTAAGTGATGAATCGTTAGATTATGATCAAGAAAAATCCAAATTACTTTGATAAGTAAAAGGGGATAAGTTCTTGACGCATGGAAACGAATGTAATTTGTGATTTGATGTTGCAAGCACATCCTTAGCAAGGATTAGATCCTTAATAAGGAAGCCGTTTATAAGCACGAGCTAGGATGCGTCATGGCTTAAGAATGGTAACATGGACGCGCATCCATGTATAATGTGCGGAAATTTAAGGTAAATTTCCATAATCACAAGTTTTTAGGGTCTCCCAAATCATTGTGAGCCTTTTGGAATGAAATCCGAGCAAAGCACCATCAGAAAGTCTACTGAAATATATGTTGAGAATATTGTTGCCTGGAAGGCAATAATAAGAAAGTGTTCAATGGAAAGTTCGTTGTCGAACGTTGATGATTGTAGGTTGTCAAGTTGAAAGATCTCAAATCATAAAAATAAGTGGGAGCCATCACTTAGACAATAAATCTTAAATGACATATGATCCATATAACACTCTCAAAATTTTATCATCTTATTATGAAAGTGTTCGACAATGAAGATGCTAAGATTTACAAAGTAATCATATCTAAACCTATGCAATAAGTGAACGACAACATTCACCAAAATTGCATGAAAGAAATCAAGCATATTAAATATAGGTGTGATTGCTATAAATGTTTTGTGAAAAGTGTTACTCTTGAAACATTTGAGGAAGACCATTTATCATAAGATGAAACGTTGAAAAGTTTCATGTTGGAATAAAATTTTGCTAATAAATTCTACAAACTATTTAATTGTGGTTTAGAATTAAATAATGAGTCCATTCGATTTCTGAGAATATTCAAAGCAGGGTATCAAGACCATGTCTTGGATAAAGAAACACCTGTTAAGTGAACATTGAAGATTACAATCGAAAATTTTCTCTAATTAAGGTCATTTAAATGATGGACGATTAATGACCACTTGAGATTAGTGTGTAGTATGATTTATAGCACTGTTTCTTGTGCTACGAGGACATGATTTTCATAAATCATTTGCACAGGTATTGGTTTAGAACTATACCGGATCGACCTATGAGAATACTTTAAGAGATTTAAAATCGTCATAAATATATTTCTCATTATAGCTATCGGAACCTTTTTCCTCAATCGTGAGTATTGTAAGTTCTCTTGTTTAAGTACTAGTCCATTTTGATGTTGCCAAATGTCTGCCGTAAATGGGGATTATAACGGCAACACTCGGGTGACTAGGTCCTCTTAGTAAGGGAAACTAACAATGCAAGATTGGGAAAGTCCCCCTATTAACAATAGAGAATATGTCTTTGTTGTTTACAAGGCCTCTTGAAGAGCGAGACTATGAAAATGCATGGTCGTGCTCAGATGGATTTTGGAAATCATCTCCTTATTGACAGTCGAACTCGGGAATCGAGAAACACTTCTGGACGTAATAAGGATGACAAAGAATTTTACCTTATAGTTCATGAAGAGACATTAAGTAACATAGAAAAAGGGTTATACACTAATTGCACACTTGTCCGGAAGGACAAGTGGGAGATCGAAAGGAATTGTATCCTTCCAACAAGTGTATTATTCCGATAGAGGGTATAGAATTATTAGAAATCTAATTCTTCAGTAAGGTCAAGTGATCAGAATGCCTAGGTGGAGGCCGCTTTCGATCAGTAGTATTAATGTATAATTAATATTACAGCTTAATCTTGACTTAACCCTTCGGGTCACACCCAATCAAGTAACTGATAAGCCTTCTTATCATGGGTTGAGAGAAGCATTTTAGGGTGTGTTTTGATGCTTTATATGTACTTTTGTTAGCTTTTGTGAGTTTTGGGTTGTGATCTCACTTATGTGCAAAAGGCGGGATTTATGAGTATAACTGAGTGAGTGAGCTCGGGCGAAGAGTTATGTAAGAAGGATGGACCTTGGCTCGTGATTTGAGAGTTGTGATGGAGCATGGAAGAGCAAGGAAGAAAGCTTGAGGAAAAGGTGAAGCAAAGCAAGAAGAAGAAGCAAGGAAAGAAGGCAAAAACAGCAGGAACCGCTGCCAGGGCCGCTGGCAGCTGGCCAGAGCCGCTGGCAGCGGGTATACCAGAGTGAGGGGCTGCCAGAGCAGCTGCCAGCGGGTCCAGAGCAGCTGGCAGCGGCTCTGGCAGAAATTCGGGCTGTTTTGGTTAATTTTCAGCAATTTGGCTTTGTTTTGGCTCGTGTTTTGGATATTATTTTATTATTATTATTGTGATATGTTATTAAAATATAGAAACATATAAATAGATTAGTTTTAATTAAGTTTTAAGTTAGAAAAGGAGAATTAAGTGTTGAGAAAAAAAAAGAGCTTTCTAGGGTTTTCTTGGAATTTTCAGAATTCTTTGTTTTGGAATTAGAATCCATGGAAGCTTAATCTTCCGGATTCTTGGTTAAAGATTGAAGCTTTTAGCTACGAATTGTGAGATCTTTCTTCTCTTAATATCTATTGAATATATATTGTTCCTTGAATTAATTTCATGATTTGCTTTAATCAATTGCTAGGTTAGAATTATTGGATTCGCTTGCATCTAATTAATCTTTCCAAAGTAGCAACTTTAGGTTATTGATGCATGCTTTTGGTTGATAACTTGAAGAGGGAATAATATTATTGAAGAAATTAGACCGCTTGTGTTAATTTATTCAATCCTTGTTGATTTCTCCGTTTATTTTCTTCTTGTGGATAATTTAAAGCGCTTGTCTTGAATCGTGCATTGGAAAGGGTTAGAAAGGAGCGCTTTGCTATTTCTAACTATTTATGAGAATTTAGAATCTAGGAATTCTACAACAAGGTGTTCAATAGAGCTTGATTGAGGAGACTTCTATGATCAATTTGTATGTTCATTAGTGGATTTCGCATAACCAAGACCGTTCTTCTCATTGATTACCTATTCATTACGTTCGTTGTTCTTACTTAGTTCATTTATCATCATTGCTCGTGAAAACCCCCCTCGTTACTTAGGTTACTACCGTCCTAGAGTATTTCCACTTAGGTTTCCAGTTATTAGTCCCTTTTTCCCTGTGGATTCGAACTCGACTTCCCTAACTACGTTTATTTGCAGTTAGCTTAGTTGTGATATTTTTGGTTGCATACGACTGAGGCACACCAAATTTTGGCGCCGTTTCCGGGGAATTAAGGCGTTACTTTTTAATTGTTTATCTTAGTAGAATTTATTGTAGGACTGTTCTTAGCTATCTTTCTTTGTTTGTTCGCTAGGGTATGATAAGTACCCGTTCTCCTAACAAAGAAGTTTTGCAGTTTGATCCAGAAATTAAAAGGAATATTTCCAGGTTGCGAAAAGAGGCAAGAACAACCCCCAGTGAATCAACATACTCCTTCAATATTCAAGAAGAAGAGGAGATGGCTGACAATCGAACTCTAAGGGAACTCACAGCTCCCAACTTGAACCAACAACCGTTGTGCATTGCATACCAGCAGTTGGAGGAAGGTACTAATGTTGAGATCAAATCCGGTCTAATTCATCTATTGCCGGCATTCCATGGCATGAAAGGCGAAGATCCGAATAAACATCTGGCAGAATTTCATGTGGTTTGCACTAGCATGAAACCGATTGGGATGACTGATGAACAAATTCAGTTGAGAGCATTTCCTTTTTCTCTCAAAGATGCAGCAAAGGATTGGTTTTACTATCTTCCCCCAGGTAGCACAACAACTTGGGCAAATTTAAAGAAGTGTTTCCTTGAGAAGTACTACCCAGCCACTATTTCTGCAAGCCTTAAGAAAGCTATCAGCAATGTGGATCAGAAGGAAGATGAATCCTTGTATGAGTATTGGGAGAGATTTAAGAGATTGTGTGCTAGTTGTCCTTACCATGGGTATTCCGATCAAGACCTCATCCTATACTTCTATGGAGGTCTAACTGATGATGACTTGAGGACGGTGAATGCAGCAAGTGGTGGAGGGCTAGTGAATAAGACTCCAGGAGATGCAACTAGGTTTATTGCAGAGCTAGCAGAAAATTCTAGGCAATTCAGTCAGAGAACTCCCACGCGCCGGGTGAATTTAGCAAATTCGAATACAACTGAGTTAGAGAGTCAAGTAGCTGATTTGACTTCTATGATGCGTGAGTTCATGGTGAACTCAAGGAATCCACAGAAACTGAATGCTTGTGGTTTATGCACCTCCATGGGACATCCCACTGATGCATGTCCTCAATTACAAGAGGAGCAGAATGAGCAGGCCAACGCCTTAGGTTTTCAAGGGCAAGGTCCGCAGAGAAGATATGATCCCTTTTCAAATACCTACAACCCAGGATGGAGAGATCATCCAAATTTGAGATATGGGAATTCCCAAGGAAACCAACAACATCAGCATGCTCAAGGTCAACAACAGTTTCAGCAATATAGGGCACCGTTCCTAACACCTTAAGGCCAAAGCTCTAATTCAGGTAATATGTCAACTGAAGAAATGATTAGATCACTAACTTCTAATGTTTCTACCATGCAGCAGAATATGATGCAGTTTCAACAAGAAACCAGATTAAGTATTCAAAACCTGGAGAATCAAGTCAGTCAAATCTCAAGTGCAGTAAGCCGACTTGAAGCTAAGGACTCTCGAAAGCTTCCATCCCAAACAGAGCTGAACCCTAAGCAACAAGTTAATGCAATAACATTGAGAAGTGGCAAAAAGTTGCAAGAAACTGTAGTTGCACCTAAGAAGGCTAAAGACTTGATTGGAGTTGAGGAGGAGGAAGTAGAACAAGAAACTAAGGCGAATCCGCCAACCTTTACCTCTTATGAGCCTGTGCCACCTTTCCCAGAAGCCTTGCAAGATACTCGAAGGTATGAGAAAGACAAGGATATTTATGAGACTTTCAGCAAATGTGAGGTAAATATGCCCCTCTTGAATGTGATTAAAAGTGTTCCTCGTTTTGCTAAGTTTATGAAGGAACTGTGTACGATCAAGAGAAAGCACAGGTTGGGAGGAAAAGAAAAAGTGAAGGTGAGTGCTCATGTTTCTGCAGTTTTCCAAAAGAAACTCCCAGAAAAATGTGGTGATCCTGGTATGTTTACTATTCCTGTTACAATAGGAGACACCACATTACACCGAGCCATGTTGGACCTAGGTGCATCAATCAATGTCATTCCCTACTCCCTGTTTAAATCTTTAGAACTTGGGCCTTTGCATGAAACTGGGGTAGTAATTCAGTTAGCTGATAGGTCCAATGTATATCCTAAGGGGGTAGTAGAAGATGTACTTGTTAAGGTTGATGGATTGATCTTTCCTGCTGACTTTTACGTCCTTGACATGGAACATGACAAACAAGCAGCCCCCATCCTGTTAGGAAGACCTTTCTTAAAGACTGCTAAGACAAAAATCGATGTGTCTACCGGTTCTTTGACTATGGAGGTTGATGGGAAAGCAATTGTGTATAACATTTATGATACCATAAAGTATCCTGTTGATACTCATTCTTTATATTCTATAAATGTTGTCGATCCAATATTGCATGATGTTTCTAACATTGATCATGGGGATGAGCTCCTCACACCTATTACTAATGTTGTGTCTGGTGATTGCTTGGATTCTTCTATACCTACTAATGTGCAGGTGAAGGTGGCGGAATTGAATGAACAGTCCAAGCTTCCACCTATACCACTAGGGGCAACACCCACCCCGTCATCATTTCCGGGCAAGAAATTATCCCAGGTATACCACAAAGCAAAGAATAAGGTGTGGCATGACAAGATGAGCTCCCGTTGGAAGGGTCCAATTCAAGTTGACAAGGTCTATCCGCATGGAGCGGTAGAAATTCGGAGTTTAGAGACCAACAACATGTTCAAAGTGAATGGAAAAAGGCTCAAACCATACTACGAAGGGTTCAAGGTCGAGAATTTGGAGAACATCGATCTCTACGAGCCATCAATTGATTAACGAAGTTTCATGAGTTATGTCGAGCCAACGACGTAAAACAAAGGCGCTAATTGGGAGGCAACCCGAAAACTCTTCCCCGTTTTCATTTATTTTAGTTTTTATTGTTTTTTTTTTATGTACCAAGTGCTTTTGGTGGATTTATGTAGGAGGATGCTTTGGGAGTACGTATTGTGAGCAAAAACAGAGCAAAACAGGTAAAAACAGGCTTTGGGAGGCAGCCCCTGCAGGAGCCGCTGGTAGCGGGCTGGCAGCTGCTCTGTAGCCGCTACCAGCGGCTCTCCAAGCAGCCAAAAAATCCCAAAGTTCTGCCCCAGCCGCTGGCAGCGGGTCTGGTCTTCAGAAAAAAAAAAAAAAAAAAAAAAAAAAAAAAAAAAAAAAAAAAATTGCAGCAGCCGCTGCCAGCGGGTCTTCCAGCAACATTCACCCTAAATTCCTTCTTAAGCCGCTGGCAGCGGGCCCCAAGCCGCTACCAGCGGCATTCCCTGCATACCTGAATTTTTGCCCTTTTAAACCCCTTTTTCTTCAATCCTACAATCCAATTCATTCTAGTCTTTATCCAAAACCCCAATTAATCACTTCCCTCTATCCCTTAGCAAGTATTCTTTATCCAAAACAACCCATTTGCCCCATTTTCAATCCAAAATTCAGAAATTTAAAAACCCCTCGTCTAACCTCTTTTCCCTCAATTTCAAGTCCAATTAAACCTTAACATTGTTTCAATTTCTAAATTCTAAACTTGAAATTTGAGGAATTGTGTGAACCTTGGTGTTTGGAGGTTTGGTGGGTTGCTCATTGTATTTTGAAAGAGGAGGTGAGATTTGTGCAATTCGTTCTTGTGCAATGGGAAGACATAACAAGTGAAGGCAACCTCTTCACCTACAAGGGTTGCAAGGGGGTAGACAACAAGGGGATACTTCAAGGGAGGGTGTATCACCCTCTTTTCCCCAAGCAAATGACTTCATGGGCATTCGTCTAACTACGAAAGAAAAGACTACATGGGTTCAACTTCAACAGCCCAAAAGAATGGTGCAATGCACAAAAGTCGTCGATTTGGAGGCATTGCAAGTGGTTGGTTTGGAGGAAGTGATGGAGCACGAGCGCACCTACTTATGTGAGGTATAGATGAATTCCTTTCCACTTTGACTAAGGGATGTCAAGAATTTCTTTCAATTTTAACAATAAGAACTATGTCATGCCTTATGCGGTAATTAGAAATGTGTTTGGTTGGAATAATCTTCCCATGGGCAACACTTGGGGTCCCCATAGTTCATTTTTCTTCTCGAGAGTTTTGAAATCCTTAATAATGCCGAATCTTCCAACTTCGGGAATCCTTCCCATTAAGGTGGTACTTATTTCTTCCCTTTCCCTTACTTTTGTTTTTATTGTTGTTGTTCTTGCATTGAGGACAATGTCTCATTCAAGTAGGGGGGGAAGCAATTCTTGCATATTTTTGAAATTTGTATAGTTATCCTAATTTAATGGTTTTGTATAGCTATTTCAATTATGTTTCAATGAAAAAAAAGAAAAAAAAAACAAAGAAGAAAAATTGAAAAAAAAAAGAGAAAAGAAAAAGAAAAAGAAGCCCTCTAAGTCGAAAACCTGAAAAGGCGGCTTAGGCAAAAATGGGGGCCCGGTTAGGTTGAAAACCCGAAAGGGCGACCTAAGCAAAAAAGTGGCTAATGAGCGGGTGAGGTAGTGAGATTTGGAAAAAGATGAGAGGCTAGGATGAAAACCCGAAAGGGCTCCTAGGCAAAATGAGAGAAAAAAGAGAGAAATGTTCATGAATTTGATTCTTCAAGGAAATTTCGCATCTATTTGCCGGAGTCGGTGTCATAAGGGGAGGAGATATAAGGAGGTGTCGGGGTAGGTTTCATCTTGGTGATTTTGGGAGATAGTTGAGATTTTGGGGGAATTTGTTGATCATCTTAGGAATTTGAGAGCATGAGTTGTTTGTTTTCACTCTTGAATGTGGAAGTGTTTTTATGAGATTTTTGGTTAAGTTGAGTTTTTGTTTGCCCAATTTTATCAAAAATTTCATTTCTTTAGGCGGTTGAGAATATTCATACTCATGGCTATGCGTTTATCGTTCCAAGTTGATTTTGGGGATGAATTGATAAATAAGAGAAAAGGGAGATTCAAAGTGTGAAGTATGGGGGAGTGTGATTGTGATTGGTTGATAAGTACTAGGATGTTTTGTTGAGTTTGAGTGCGTAGAGCTAGTTTGATTCCACCATCTTCTGTTTTGAACCTTAGTGAGGAGGATGTGTTTTATTCTCTAAGTTTACTCGAGGGCGAGTAAAGGTTCAAGCATGGGGGAATTTGATAAGCCTTCTTATCATGGGTTGAGAGAAGCATTTTAGGGTGTGTTTTGATGCTTTATATGTACTTTTGTTAGCTTTTGTGAGTTTTGGGCTGTGATCTCACTTATGTGCAAAAGGCGGGATTTATGAGTATAACTGAGTGAGTGAGCTCGGGAACCAATGAAGAGTTATGTAAGAAGGATGGACCTTGGCTCGTGATTTGAGAGTTGTGATGGAGCATGGAAGAGCAAGGAAGAAAGCTTGAGGAAAAGGTGAAGCAAAGCAAGAAGAAGAAGCAAGGAAAGAAGGCAAAAACAGCAGGAACCGCTGCCAGGGCCGCTGGCAGCTGGCCAGAGCCGCTGGCAGCGGGTATACCAGAGTGAGGGGCTGCCAGAGCAGCTGCCAGCGGGTCCAGAGCAGCTGGCAGCGGCTCTGGCAGAAATTCGGGCTGTTTTGGTTAATTTTCAGCAATTTGGCTTTGTTTTGGCTCGTGTTTTGGATATTATTTTATTATTATTATTGTGTTATGTTATTAAAATATAGAAACATATAAATAGATTAGTTTTAATTAAGTTTTAAGTTAGAAAAGGAGAATTAAGTGTTGAGAAAAAAAAAGAGCTTTCTAGGGTTTTCTTGGAATTTTCAGAATTCTTTGTTTTGGAATTAGAATCCATGGAAGCTTAATCTTCCGGATTCTTGGTTAAAGATTGAAGCTTTTAGCTACGAATTGTGAGATCTTTCTTCTCTTAATATCTATTGAATATATATTGTTCCTTGAATTAATTTCATGATTTGCTTTAATCAATTGCTAGGTTAGAATTATTGGATTCGCTTGCATCTAATTAATCTTTCCAAAGTAGCAACTTTAGGTTATTGATGCATGCTTTTGGTTGATAACTTGAAGAGGGAATAATATTATTGAAGAAATTAGACCGCTTGTGTTAATTTATTCAATCCTTGTTGATTTCTCCGTTTATTTTCTTCTTGTGGATAATTTAGAGCGCTTGTCTTGAATTGTGCATTGGAAAGGGTTAGAAAGGAGCGCTTTGCTATTTCTAACTATTTATGAGAATTTAGAATCTAGGAATTCTACAACAAGGTGTTCAATAGAGCTTGATTGAGGAGACTTCTATGATCAATTTGTATGTTCATTAGTGGATTTCGCATAACCAAGACCGTTCTTCTCATTGATTACCTATTCATTACGTTCGTTGTTCTTACTTAGTTCATTTATCATCATTGCTCGTGAAAACCCCCCTCGTTACTTAGGTTACTACCGTCCTAGAGTATTTCCACTTAGGTTTCCAGTTATTAGTCCATTTTTCCCTGTGGATTCGAACTCGACTTCCCTAACTACGTTTATTTGCAGTTAGCTTAGTTGTGATATTTTTGGTTGCATACGACTGAGGCACACCAGTAACTAATCCGAGGCGACGAATCAATCCAAAGGATTAGATGAGTCGTTAGAGTATTACAAACAAAAACGTCTGATGTCGAGCTTAGAGCGTCGAAACCGAGCGTCGCAAGTCAAGTCGAGTTTGAAATTCGACAAGATGGGAAATCAAGCATGCGACAAGTACGAGCTAGGTCATACCCTCTCATTGGCCTAGCCATGTGAGTCCTAGGCTAGCTTAAGCCTCTAAGCGCATCGCAAGGCATGCCGCAAGTCTAGCATGCATTGCGTGCTAGGCCAAGCATGCTAGCATGGCTGGTGCTACTGGTCGCAAGCATGTTAGCGTGCTAGTGTGCTGGGCCACACACCCAGCCGCATCATCGCCAGCTCGAGCACAGCAGCAGCGTGCTATGTGTGTTGTGCTATGGCGATGTGTGCTAGCATTGCAGCACCAACCGCATCATCGCTAGCACATGCATCGCAAGAAGCGTGCTAGCGTGTGTGTGTTGTGCGTGCTTGATAGCGTAGCAGCACCAAGCAGCAGCACATGCAATGCATTGCTGCAGCAGCCCACAATGCGTGTGTGGCTTGCTGCGTGCATGCGATAGAAGGCTGGCAAGCAAGCCCAGCCTTGGTGCTAGGCGCTAGAAGGCAGCCTTGGCAGCTAAGGCAGACTGCCAGCCAGCCATGCGTGAGGTCAGCCACGGTTTTGGTGGGGACCGGTGCTTAGTGGTCTTGCTTAGGGAGCAAGGAAATTTTTAGTCTCCCCCTTTGGTGGTCCTCACCTACCCATGCTCTCCGTATGACACTTGGAGCTTGTTGATTGCTTTACATTTTAATTTGTTTTGGATTAAAATAAATTGGTGGAAAAATGCAATTCTCTCACATTGATGGGAAAAGGGGAGGTCAAGGCTCTCTTCCCTATATATACCCAAATTTTGGGTTTGGGAAAAATCACTTGAGTTGAACTCAATAAGGCATCTCCCTATAGGTGAGAAAACCATTAAGTTCGTAATACTCTAGTCTTTTCTTGGTCTAACCCCGACTAACCTTCGGGGTAGAGGCCGTTCGGGTCGAGTCTCGAGGGTGGACTCCGTCAAAGGCTCTCGCGCTTGCGGAGCTAAGGCTTTGAAGTCCGAGCTCTATAGGAGCGAAGCACGTGTCGAGGGTAAGAATGTCATTTCTCTTTCTATTTCTTTTGTTGTTTAATTATGTGATTGCATGCTAAGTTTCTTTAATTAGTGGACGGGTTTCTCTTCCGCGTAGTGTTGGACGCTACGAAACCCAACAAATAGGGCAAAAATCGGTCCAAATTTTAGGAAAAAATTGAGCAAATTAAATATCTTTAATGATTCTATATGTTAAATCATCATTTAAAATAAAAATTAACGCATAATTGAATTATTCTCCCTCTTAATTGAATTACAATTTGTGGACAACAAAGAATTATCATCAATATGTGTACATGCGTGAGGCTAACAGATACCACTGTAGGACTTTAGATATTATAAGCGGAATTGCATGAATCATATTCATAAGCATCTAAAACAAGATCTTTTACACAACACATAAAGAACACGTAATTATACCTTTGAAGCATGATTCCACGAGTGATCGAGCAAGAACAATAAGGAGAACAAGAACCCCAAACCTGATTCCTCTACTTGGTCCACGAGCAAGAATTGAACCTCCACTAATGCTAGTTGGTTGTGATAGAACCCTTCAATCAACCTTCTACAGAGAGAAGAGGAATGAACAAGCCACAAACCACCACCACCACCACCATGCGTCCACTTGGGGCCGGTGTCCTTATTGTACGGACAAAGGAGGAGAGAGAGAGAGCAGCGTGTGAGAGAGAGAGAGGTGGAGGGAGTTTGGTTGCTTGCTTCACAATATACTGCTTAGGTTAATTGTGACTTGTATGCATAACATAGGCAAGGACTCTATTTATATATCTCATATATGATTAGAGTCCATGTGAAGCCCAAACTCCTAACCCAATCCAAACTATTCTAGCCTTACTACTTATGTGGCTTGTCATTACCTCATGAGGCCCATTAATGGGCTTCATACTTTGTTTAATCCATAACCCTTGTGTGTGACCTTATAGGATCCATTCAATTGGGTTTTGGACTATTTGACTAGCCCAAAGATCATTTATCATACCTAGCAACAGACAATGACACTACTACAAAATTGAGCTTAAGTAACACCCATTGGTAACACTTTAAAAATTTCATGATTGTTTGATTTTTACGTAACACTTTTGTAACATTGTGGTATTAGGTAACACTTTATTGTAACACTTTGATATTAGGTAACACTTGGTTGTAACCCTTAATTTTTTTTTATTTTTTTTTTTAAGAAAACACTTTATTCGATAGGCTCAATTTTTTTAATCAAAATCGACCCTTCAGTCACAACCTCACAAATTTCTCCCCCCTCGTATTTCTCCAACCCTCAATAAAGCTTTGACCGTCTCTTTACGCTGCACCTCCTTACCTCTGCTTCCATCGCTATCACCTTCTCAGTAATTAAACCAATGAGTCTTTCCTTCGATTTTCATTTGCCATTGACAATGAAGCTCGAAATCAATGGAGGACATTATCTCTCCTTCCGATAAGCAGGTCATGGTCTCTAAATTCCTTGAGATCGCTGCTGGCCAGAGTGCCGATACAATCCGCCAATTCTTGCAGGTATTTCTCCTAATTTCTACTTATTTTTTTCTTCAATTTCATAAATTAGGGTCTTTTTTCACTACAATGCTCGATTTGATGATCGCTGCACAATCAATTTTGTATTCTGTAAATTTTTTTTACGAAGTGTAAAATCGATTTAGAGTGATGGCAACTCAGAAATTGCGCTGCATTTATAATTTAGTGTGATGAATTGCGGAACATGCTTTGAACTTCTTGCCGGTAAAAATTGTGTGGTGTGTTGCGTAAGACGTTTATTTGTTGATGCTTGTAGTGTAGAGTGTATTCCAATCAATTTAGCTGATGGTAATTTCATGCCCCCTCCCCTTTGATTGATTATTGCTTGTAGTCGAGGGCTGTTTGGCATGATATAGTTTGTCTTAATTTCTCCTTTTTTTTTTTGCTAATCGAGAGGTAATTTCATGCCCCCTCCCCTTTATGTATACTTATTTTTCCTGATTTTTCAATTTGTTGGATTAATCAATCTAATTTCTTGCTTTGAACAAGCTGGGTGATGAATATTTAACTTCGCTGATTTGAATGCTGTATAGGTTTTGATTCCTATTCTGAAACCAACTGGATACACCAGTGCTGATCCTTATAAAATGTAAGCTTAATCTAACCTTCAATGCTTTTTTACTAGCTATTTTATGTTTCTCGAATTTTTCTGCTTCCTATTTCTATTATCGAGCATAGTTTTAGAAATTAGGATTCTGGTGAGTTTTAAGTGGAATTAAGCCCTTTTCTTTCAAGTAGCTGTAGAATTGGATTCTATGAGCGAAATCAAGTAGATAAATGGCTAATAAGGTTTTGGGTCAGGCCAAAGTAGTGAATTGTATTCTAATTTATCACCAAGAAATTTAATAATCAGCAAATCAGCTTAGTTAGTAGGCAGGAGGCAACAAGGTGGCTTATACTTGATTGTGCAGGAAACCTGCACACACTTTTAAAAGTCAGAAGTTAGGATGAGTATCAAGCTCATAGATGAACTTCTGTGGTTTAGATATATAAAACGTGTTATTTGGTAATTACTTTTAAAATTGTTATTTGGTGATTAAAGGTTTCCAATAAATTAATTTATGTAAAGATCAGTATCAAGCTCATAGATGAACTAATAGGGTGATCATGTGGTAATTGTTTTTAACATCCAGTTATATAGGGGAAAAGAATGAGAGAGGATCTTTGTTTTACAATGGAAAATGAGAATTAAAAATAAGATTGAAGTCAATGTTATTATTTTGGACAAAAGCTTAAGCGGCATTATTGCAAACCTTCCTAGCTTGGTCAATCTCAATTTGATTCCTGGACCTTTTTATAGATTAATATTCTTGGATGATATGTTTTTTTTTTTAAGTTTGCAGTGTGAGTAGATAGTTGCATGAATTATTGGTAGTTTTGCTTTCTCTTTCCTTTTATTAATACATGGATTTAATTCTTAGTTTCTTACAAGAGTTGCTGCTACTGTAGTTTGATGACAAGGTTGCTTTATTTAATATAGGTGTATATTCCATTTGAATTGGCTAATATATTAGAAGATGGCTATTGAGCATTTTTTCCCCAGAATGTCTACAATTTACTTGATGCTATGTAAGAGGGTAGAGTGTTTAAAAAGAAATAATGTAAGAGGGAAGATATATATATGAATCATTATTTTACTCTTAGAATATCAGTTTACTACTTTTTTCAATTCTCATTGTATTTATGGATGCTCTTCCATTTATAAGCAGGGAGTGAGAACCATGAGATAGAGCATTGGAAGATTAGAGACGATGGAAACAAAAACTTCTGTTATGTTACAAGACACAAGAAACATGGTTGCATATATGTGGCAACCAATGTCACCATTACTCTTTCTACTGTTACAGATATCTGTTGTTGTTGCTGATGCCTGTCGATGTCACTAGCTCACTGCTATCTGCTGCTACTGCAGTCTGCTGTTTTCTCACTACTATTGTTGTCTGATCTGTTGCTGACTCTTGCTACTTCGGTTTGCTGCCATTACTCTCTGCTACTGCTGGTTATTGCCAACTGTTGTATGCTACTGCTTGAAGCTGCCACTCCTGTATACTACTGCTGGTTGCTGCTAAAGACTGCTACTAGCAGCTTCTGTTACTACTTCTGCCATTTTGCTATTTGCGTAGCTACTGCCATTCTGCTAGCTAGTTGTGTAGCTGCTACTATACGCTGTTATTAATGCTCTTTACTGTTATCGCTAACTTTTTTTGAAATTTGGAAGTTTTTTATTTTTCCTTACTTTTTCCAAGCTAGAGATCAAACTTAATTCTCTTTGTGTTAGGATTATTATATTGTTTGGCCAAACATTATAATTGGTGTTTATGGATTTTTTTTGTAAGAATTATGAAAGTATTTCAACCGTAATTGTTTTCTATCATATGTGTTGATTTCTTATTCATATCGTTTGTTGTACATATAATTTTTTTTTTATATTTTAAAAAAATAGTAAATGTTAATAATAATAATAATAAATGTTACCTATTAATCTATAAAGTGTTACATTACTTTGTAAAAAGTGATACATAATATCGAATAAAGTGCTACTATATGTCAAAACATGATTGAAAAATGTTACCTAATAATCAATAAAGTGTTACATTAGTTCGAAAAAGTGATACATAATGTCGGATAAAGTGATACTATATGATTGAAAAATGTTACTAAAGATAAGTAAGTGTTACGTAAGAAATAAAAAGTAACACTTTAAAAATGATACTAAAAATATAAAAAAGAGTTACATAAGAGGTTATATAGTAACACTTTTAAAAGTGTTACCATACGTTATCCAAAGTGTTATATAAGACCTTAGGTAACATGGGCGGATGTATCACTCACTTAAGTGTTACCTATTGTCTATAATAACATTTTTACCACTTTATGTAACACTTTTTGGGTGTTACTTGAGGTTAGTTTTGTACTAGTGTGATGACCCAAAAGAATAAACTAATTATCTCTATAATAATAATCCATGATACATCTAGTAATTGCACTTGTCGAGGACATAAATCCTTCACATACTACAAATTCAGAAGCAACTAGTGAAGGATGAAGAATTTATCAAAGAAAATCAGAGTTAAGATCCTTCGAAGAAACTGGAGTAAAATAAAGCTTCAGAATTGAAGTTTCCAATGGAGAAACTCAAGGAGTTTATGATAATTAGGTTTTATTTTCAATCTTTGTTTGTTCCAATTTATCATATTAACCTAAGTAGGAGTCAAGTGGAATTAGTCCTTGTGTTTAAATCGAATTTATTATACTTATTAATGAGATCTTTCATTTATCACAAAATTTTAACCACGCGGTGTGGTCAGCCACATTTTTTTTGTTTTCCCACTTTTTCCTTACTTTCTCTCTCCTACCTTTTAAGAATGGTAGAAAAACCTCTATTCTTCTTCTTCATCTTCCTCAAGAGAGAGACCAATCTACACTTCTCCAATCTTCATCATCATTTTCTCACTCCTCACTTTGTTCTCCTTTGCAACTCCTTCTCTCTCCTCCAAATCCTCCTTCTCAATTACAAACCCTAACTTAAATTGTTGCAATTAAAGCCGCTACGGTGGTGCGAAGGTTGAGTGGTGGTTGATATGGATGGTGGTCTGTTATGGCGGTTCGGTGGTGTTGTGGCGAAGGTGGAGTGGTGGTTGATGGAGTTGCGGTAGTTCGGTGGTGTTGTTCGCGCTAAAATGGCTAAAGAACCAGTTCGCGTTCTCATCACCAGTTCGTGTCCTCGTCAACGGTGCTGGCGGTTCGGTGGTGGTTGATTATTCAGTTTTTCTAGTTGATTTTTGTGTTTTGGTGCATTTTTTTTGAATTAGATTAGCTGATTTTGAGGTTAAAATGTTGATTTATAGCTTAATAGTGAGTCAGTTTTGACCTAAAAATGAATTGAATAGGCAATCATAGTGGTAAGATTTGATTTGATTGGATATTGTTGAGGTAGTGATGACAAAAACATTTCTCAATGCTGAATTAGTCAGTTGAGACTAATTGCGAGTATACATTTTTGTGTATACTAATTTAGGGGTTATTAGGTCAGGAGTTACTAGGGCGGTAAGGGGTTACTTGGTTGGGGGTTACTAGGTCGGTCAGAGGTTACTAGGTCGGTTAGGGTTGCTTGGTCAAGAGTTACTAAGTCGGTCAGGGGTTACTAGGTTGGTCGGGGGTTACCATAATCAATTAGGGGTTACTAGGTCGATCAGGGGTTATTAGGTCGGTTAAGGGTTATTTGGTCAGGGGTTACTAGGTCAGTGAAGGGTTACTCGACCATGATTTACTAAGTCAGTCAAGGGTTACTTGGTCATGGGTTACTTGTGTGTTAGCTGGCCACACGGTGTGGCCAACCAAACACAAAACCAGTTGTTCATTTATATTTTTATCTTAAGAAATACTATCTTTTATATAATATCTTTTATGAAAAGATTTTTCTTGAGCTATAAATATCTATCTTTTGGTAAAATCTGATTTAAGGAAAATTATATTTAAACGTGTATTTTGCTTGATCAAAATCAGTTGAGAAAATTAAGGAAGTTTCAATACGTTTATGATGAAAATATTGGAAGAGTGGCGTACACTTGCAACCCAAGTTCCCCTACTACGTGCTCTTAAAGTTGAGGGAAGTGCGATTAGTGGAACTAAATAAATGGTGAAGTGGATGGTACTTGAACATTATAAGTAGAACGTTATTCCTACTGCAAAACACACTTGAGCATTTTAAGCATTACTATATTAATTTTGTATTTGAGTAGAGTCATTCCACTTAAGTCTAAAGTCTCATTGTGCTAAGTACTAGAGTCATCTTTGAGTTATAAATTTTGGGGTTTGAGTGAACTTTAAAGAGAAAGACTTTAAGTGAGCTAAGAGAAAGAGAGATTTGAGAGAACATGATTGAGGGATCAATTGTAGGGTGCTTAAGTCTTAGGTTGTAACAGTTTGTTGCCCTTAATTAATTAAGAGTCGAGTCTTAAAATTCAGAGTAGGTTGTGGTTTTTCTTTTTGATTGGAGCCAAGAAGCTTTCCACGCAAAAATCTCTTTTATTCTTCTAAGTTCCTTGATTTACTTTTAATTCCGCAAAAAAATTTCCTACTTCCCTACACTATTCACCCCCCTACTTCATCTGAGTCAACAAAGGTTGTGAGGAAACTAAAATATATTCATAAAATAAAGATAAAACAAATTAAAAACGGAGATACAAGGGGTGGTGACACGGAAAATCCAAATAAGATAAAAATTTCATGTAGAATGAGAATTAATCAAACTTTCACTATGAATACTTAATTATTCCTTAGAAATGAATGAGAAGACAATGTATAATTGAGGATAATTGCTTATAGAGTGTGCTCAGTAAAACGTACGTTCCTTTGGAGGTGTCCCTTGATATTTATAGCCCTTTACTATGGTTCCTTGGTGCTGTTATAGGCTCTCTAGAAGAAGGAAAGGTGGTCTAATATTCCCGGACCCACTAGGAGATCATTGTTTAGAGACTTGGTATTAGGTGAACTTACTTTGAAAAGATATTCCACAAAATATGTTGGACTGGCTTTGATAATTATCAATTTCTTGAAGATCGGACACGTTGGCTATTGACGTACGTTGACACTGGCTTTAACTTGTCATTGAGACTGCGATAATGAAATTGTGGACGCCGTCGTGGCGTAGCATACAAAATTGCCCATAACAATATCTATGCTCACAAATCATAATAAACTGCAAAATAAAAGGTATAATAAACTAATAACATGATATCAAACACTTATTTAACATAAACAAGTAATAAAAACAAAAAAACCAAGTATATAAAGCAACAAAAAAGAAAATACGAGAGAGATAGAAATTCCCTTGATATGCAAGGATTGTTATTCAAATCTTAAAGTTTCTTCCTACAATTTTTCATAATTCAAGCATTCAACAAGCTTCACTCAATTTTTTAATCTCTCTCTGTCTCTCTCTCTCCACCTTAACTTAATCTAAAACTAAACTAAGAACATGGAAAAATGTTTCAAAATAGTGTCATATAATTTTTTTTATATTAGCAAAGGTTTCTTTGACAATAATTGTCACCAATTGAACGCAAAAGAAAAAAATTATGGACAGAACAAAACATGGACGTGTCACTTTTAGCATAAATGTGCTACTCAACCAAAAGTTTCTATTCGGTAAAACATGTCGGCAAGGATGTATAAATTTCTACATCAACCATCACCTTTAGTTGTGATGCCTTTTCTAGTAGAGACATTATCCTATCAAATGCTATAATTTCTTTGTTACTTGTCGAAAAAAGGTGTGAGACTAATTGTTTGAAAGCTTTTGAGATGCACTTTAATCCTCAGTTTGAATCATCTTAAAATGTTGAGCAACAAAGAAATAAATGGCCATTTATAATTTGACCCTGGTGTAAAATCCTTCCTATTAAAATCTTTCAAATGCTTTTATGGGCTGTTTGGTTTCAAGCATTCCATTTGAAATGCTGGATTTGGCCAAATTTCATGTTTGGGTAATCCTAACATTTGGATTTAGAATTGGCATGTCCCAATTCCAACCCAATGAAAACATTAATCCATATATCAGAATTTGAAATTCAATCCAAAAATCCATCATTTAAAATCCCAGAATGCTCTCTCTCTTCGTGCTCTTTCTCACTCAAGCTTTCTTTTTCCTCTCTCATGCAAGCTTTCTCTCTCCTAAAGCTTTTTCTCTCTTCTCCTCTACTGTTAAATTATATTTTAGTTTCTCAATTCTTAAAACGATGAATTTGCTACATTATTGTTTGATTGCTAATTTATAAATATTGTGTTAGGTGTTTTTGGAATGATTTTGTCTTCCGATCTAGAATATGTGTAATTGGTTGAATTTTCGATTTGATGTAAATGGTTGAATTTTCGACTTTATGTAATTGATTGAATTTTTTGAAATTGATTTTGTCTTCTAATCTAAAATATGTGTAATTGATTGAATTTTCAATTTGACATAATTGATTGAATTGTCGATTTTATGTAATTGATTGAATTTTGGAATTGATTCTGTCTTATGATCTAGAATGTGTAATTGATTGAATTTTTGATTTGATGTATAGTGTGCTCTTTTGTATGTTGTATTGATTATTTAGGGATTTTTTTTTTCTTTTGTAATTTCTTTTGAAATTAATTGTTTTGTTAATAGTATGATTATGATTGTAGCTATTTAGATGACAATTTGAGTATAAGAGGGAAGCAATTTAACTAGTAGGAAGTTCCCAAAAGCCTCTGCATATTAGAACAAGTGCATTGAGAATTGGGACGACATATGCACTCTATATGCTTCCGATAGAGCGTAGGTGATGGAGCTGAGCAACACGAT